GTTTCACCCCATATTCTAGATCCCTCTTGAGTATATTTCTTAGAAGCCTGTAGGGATAAAATGATTCATTGAGAAACTCAAATTACTCGATTACTAAAAAGCATCAATGCAAAAAATTGCATAAATATATACAGCGCACTGTTTTGCACAGACAATAACATAAAGTGAAGACAACATGATTTGATGGGTTGGATTGCAAAATGGAGGGAGAGTGAGAAAAAAACAAGGGATGAAGAAGAGACAGGCCAGAGAAAAAGACAGAAAGTGTCCAAAGTATGGGAAGCTAAAAGACTACAACAAACCTGTATGGTGTCTAAGGTAAAATAGAACTAGCCTACAACAATAGCACGATGGCAATGCTTCAACGTCTGAACAGAAAGCTTCAAGTCTATGCATCGAGTCCAAGGAGAGGATCCAAAACAAGGTAGCAGTAACGTTAATGGTAGCGTTTAATGTAAGTCGTGATTAGTTGAAATGAAGGCTTGCAATGGTAAGTTGTATTAATGTGCATTTGTTGTTATTGTTCTCTGACTGTTTAGTCCATGAGTTTGGGTTATAACGTTACAGTGACACAGTGAGTTACACAGCTGATCCCGGTAACGGGGTCGACAAGCAAAAGTATTTCTATCCAATTACGCGATCAATCGATTAAATAATCTGTAGAATACTCAATTCCTAAAATAATGGATAGCTGCTAGAAGTCTGTTTTATCTCCAGGTGTTATAGCAGCCTGTTCAGCCTCTGGAGGATTAGCATCGATGATGTCCATCTTCACACATTCAAGTTCAGTAGTTGTTTGATTTCATCCATAGCACTTTACGGACTTCTTGTCCAGATAGAATAAGCATGTTAAGCCAACACTGACAAGAAGACTGTGTGATAAGGTTGAAAGCTCTATAAAACACAACTTTTGTGAGGTCACTTGTTAGGAAAATGTAAGCGTTTTCTTAGGTTGTTCTAAGTGAAGTTTGAAAAAATGACGAATGCAGTTGTTTTTCTGGTGAGGACAGTCTCCTCAAGTCTTCATGCTCTGATTTTCAGCTTATGGAGAGCATATGGAAATCTTTATGTTGTATATTTTCTTGTGTTTGTACATAATCTGTGGGAAATAAGTGTAACATTCAATACAAAGGACAAGCTAGATATTTACTTTCGAGTGTTCACAGTGAGGCTGCACTATGTGTTCTGTACATGGGAGGTCAGCAGAGTGCCCCCTCCTCTCCAACAGTGTTTTCCCACCAGCTGACTCTAAAGGGATGGGTGGCGATGGAAAACTGTCAGAAAAAAAATTTTTACATGGTCACAGTCCGTAATGGATAACTTGGCTGCCTCCACTCGCTCAGGCTATTTCAAGAGAAGCCACACAGTTGCTTTGAAGGCTGTATTTTACTCCAAGGTTACAAGGGCTTTGACTCCATTTTGGGACCTCCATAATAACATGCTACTATTGCTTTCCACTCATTTTCTTCTTCACTTCATGTGGATTGTCTTTATCAAAGGGAGAGTTAAAAATAAGTCACGCCAGATGTGACCCAGCCCACTAGGAAGTGGTGACACTTCAGATAGGAGTTGACCACATACTGTATATTATAAAATGTAATTGGTGTAAATCAAGTCTTTGTCAAGAACATCGTGTTTCGATTTTATTTTCTTGTCCCATGTTTTGTTTCATTTCAGTGACAAATTCTCCAAATGTTAAATGTATAGTTCAAAAGCATAGTTGTCATTTACACTGGAGAGGCTGGGGACATGTCCCCACCACTTTTTGAAATGGCTGATTTTGTGCCCATCTCCAAGTATTTGTTAAAATTGTTCTAATAAATTGCTTGCAACAAGAAATGTTAAATAACAAATAAGAATGCTTTGAGAAAGGTTTATTTGCACAATTAGAAACATGCAATTGAAGGTAAATATCTAAGAAACAAATGTGCATTGTCCAAGAAAGAAACTTAAACTAAAAAAACAAGTTGCTGATTATTACATTATATTTTGTATTGTCACCTTACACCTGAATTTTGTGTTTCCCTTTATATATATAAAAAACATTTCAACCATAACTTTGTCTGGGAAATGTGTCCAGAATGCAGGAAATTTAGTGTTCAATGCTCAAAATCTTCTGGGGGAGGACCCCCAGACCCCCAAAATCATATATCACAGTAGTGAATATTCGTTCTAAAATCTTCTTGTTTCGTTCACGTTTCGCAAGCAAGCTCTTAAATATTTCCACCACTTTTCAGCACAAAGTGACACCCTTGTTCAAAAGTCTCATTAAAGAGGGTGTCATTTAAGTATTTGATGCAACTTTGTTAAGCACTTTGGAACAATGCACACCACGGTTTGAGGCTATGTAATGAAAAATAAAAAGATCTCCTCAATGGATTTGCGATCAAAGATCTCTGCATTGAGAAATGACAAGATGGGTGTGCATTTAAAAATGTATTATTAGTAGTAGCAGTGGTGTAAGAAGTTCAGATGTTTTATATAAGTAAAAGCTGAGGAGCAGCAGTAACGTAAGAAAAATCTCCATTTAAAGTAAAAACCTTGCTTTGAAAAAGTATTTGTGAGCAAATGTACTTTAAGTAAAAAAAATAAAAGTACTGCTTATGTCCCTGAGTTAAATAAAATATTATTGCATTGTTAATACTGATGCATGAATGATCATATCGCATTTCATTGTTGTAGCTGGTTCAGATGGATTTTAACTACTTCATACTGTAAATTAGTTTAATATGTAACAATATATCATGTTATATTAGTTCATCATATGCTGTCTACCAAAACACTTAATCTCCAAAGTAAAGCTGTCAACTAAATGTACTGAAGTAAATAGTACAACATCTACCTCTGAAATGTAGTGGAGTAGTGGTAAAAAGCATGGAAATAAGTAGTTATAATGTACTAATATTGTACTAGTATGTACAAGTATAAATTGTACTTAAGTAGAGTGCTTAAGTGAATAGTTATTTTCTACCACCGCGGTAATAGAAGTAGTATTAGTAAAATAAGAATAGGCCTACTTGTGGTAATAGTAGATGTTAACAACATCGTAATAGTAACATTAGTACAGTTTGTCATGAGTAATAATCTTGTATATTAAATTTGTTTACCAGTAAACACACCATGAAAATGAGGACAGAGTTTGGAAACTTTGGTTAGATTCACTCCCTCTACTGCACTACAGTATAACACAAGTTAATTGTGCAAAGCTGTACACAAAATAACACAAAAATAGGTCTACATATTCTTTGTAGACAGAACAAATATATTTTGTTGTTTTTTCTGAAAAGACATCCAGTTGTACAGCGTACAAGCCAAGTTGGTCAACTGTACATGGAGCTACCGCTACTTTTATGGGTGCCATAACCACATGTGGGTGGAAACTGGCAGTAATGTCAGGATCAGGATTGGGTGTCTCCCATGCCTCCCATATATTACAGGGCGGCAGTCTGTCACGTGTGTGTCTTGAAGTTTACTTTTGGGGTGTAGCACAGTGGCCCCACACACAGTGTTAAACACCATGTTCCATTTGAGGCTACTGGGTGGGGCATCAGGTCATTGCATGTCCTGTAATTACTGTAGACTCTCTCCTTTTCAGTCAAAGTTGTTACAGTTGGAAAATGACAACTGAAGTATTAAACTGGAATAAAAGCAAGACACAGCTGTATCACAAACATGCACAGTCTATCTACTGGACATAATTCAGAATGAATGTTTTTGATTTGATGTTTTGGGTTTCATATGTGATAACTTGCCTTGCCTATTTAATCTCTGTGGGCCCATGTGACACTACTGAGAAATGCCCCAATAAAAGGCTGTGTAAAACATCATCCTACGATAAACAGGAAGTCCTCCATCTCACATATAAGGATGATAAAACTTTTTGTATAAATGAATGCGAATGTGTGAACCCTATACTAAAAGTGAAAATTCAAAGATTGTTTATGTCTACTGGAATTCATAATCACAGCGTATTTCTAAGGCTATATCTGTGAGCAAGACTGATAAAAAAAAGTTGAATGTGATCAGGAGTATACAATCCAGTCCGGCAATCCGATCCAATTAACGATCACACATAAATGCCACAATGAATCTATTAAACACGCGAAACCCAACACACGCAGATGAGAATTTTTTAGATTAACATGTTGCACAGATTATAGCATCCTTACCTGCCTTGCTCGGGCCTCCTAGTGCCTATTCGTGTACGTGCAATTCCTTGAATCCCTGATGCTGCGCCCAGTCTGATCGCTGCTTTCCTCAGGCTGGACTGCTACATTACGACAGTGCCGCTCGCTTTTGAGAGAGCGCTCCTCCCTTCACAGCCCATATTCTCACATCCATCCAGCCCCTGCATCCAGCCTCCTGCCTGGCATCCCCTTTAATTCCGAGTAACAGTCCTGTAATCAGCTCAAGCGTCGCCCTGTAACTCTGTCAAATAGGTGTTCTGAAATATTCGCATTTCAAACCAGCGAGATGGAGAAGCAGGATGCGGGATATTATTTGTGGGTAGTTGTGTATGAATTATTGGGGGAAAAAATACCGGAATGTTCTATTTTTATTTTATGAAATGTAAGCAGAAGATAAAAATACCAATAAAATCACGTTTTTAAAATGTATTTGCTCATTTACACTTGAGTCACATGTACACATTTCTAACTAGTAAAAATACAATTTTCACTTTCAACATAAATATTCCACATAATTAAAGCTCATTATATCCTGACTGTATTTTCCTTGCGACTGCGAACCACGTGCGTTGCAAGTGCTGGTTGCAGATCAGTTGAGTCATCAAGGCAGTTCCTGCGCTGAGAGGCGATGACGAAACAACACTGACATCAGATCAGATGATCTTGATATATATATATATATATATATATATATATATATATATATATATATATATATATATATATATATATATATTTTTTTTTTTTTTTTTTTTTTTTTTTTTTTTGATTGTTAGTTTTGCACAGGAAATGCGTCATTCCGTCGCTGGTGACGTGGCTACTCGGGGAGCTCTTCCCGGTTGTTGTGCCAGCCAGGCTCCTCGGCTCTGGGCTCCTCCATTCACTGGAGATACCTGTGGCAAAAATAAATAAATCAAGCGATACCTGTAACTTACTAAACAAAGAGCCCGGCGGTTTGCCTTTTTTGTGTACTATTTAAAGAGGAAGACAGTTGAATCAGCCGCTGACTGCTGCCCGCGATGGATACGTATGGTAACTCGCACAAGAAACAGAAGCTGAGCAACGCTGCTGAGAACTGGGTGAGTATTCTTCTGCCAAGTTGTGTTAATTCAACAAATTGAATTCTTTGCGTCCGTCCACCTCCATTAACCAGTTAGGAATGAGCTAACACGCTAACCGGTCAAACAGCTAGCTAATTTGAATGCGCAACATTATAACGTTAGTGCCGTACAGTGATGCTAGCTGGTACCGGTACATTCAACGCCTCAGTGGGTGCTAGCAGCGCCATGACGGAAAATGTGGCTAATCATTCAACTGCTAATGAAGTTAATGGAAGGGCATCAACTGTTTGGTTAATGCACTTGCAGCTGTGATAACATAACCGATGGTTCCAATATCAGTTCCAGCGAAATACTCATTGCAAAACCTTGTTTGCTTTTACGAGGCAACATAGAGCTGCGTGCACATTCCTGTTTGAGTAACTTTAATGATTACAGTTCAATAATTTTAAGGCTAAACCTGTGAAAAATATGTTTCTCTCTTTCTGTCCCACTGTGACTCAAGGCTGAAAAAGAGTTTTTCAAAGAGTTCTCCTAACTATGAACCACAGTATTTACATACATCAGTGATACAAATATATACGTCATAGGCTGTGGTTCTGCAACATTCATCAAACAACACAAACAATAACACAATAAACACACAAACATATCAACAATCAAATTATTTTAAAAGAAAAAGGCCAGCATTCTCAAATGTCAGCATTTCAAGCCTTATCACAGTCATAATGTATGTCATGGTAAACCGTCTGGATATTTGGACTTGTGGTTGGATAAAACAAGCAATTTGCCATCACTATGATGAACAGGATCAGCTGTATTGGCCAAGTTTGTGTACACATTGAAGGAATCTGAGTCTGGGTTTTTGTTGCTCTTAATGTATTTACACAGAAATGGGCATCCAGCTGAGAACAAGGACAAAGTAAACAGACAATGCAAAAAATACTTTATTTCACTCACTGATCTGAAGAAACTCACCCATACTCTTATCTCCTCTTGCCTATAACTCAAAAAATTTTGGGATATGGAAAAGTTTTTGCATTCTTGCGCTGGCCTGCCCCCTATGAGCCAGGACACAAACTGAGGTCTGAGGAACTAACCAGTTTCAAGGTCTAGGCAGAAAATCAAAGTAGACAGGGCTTTTATTGGGTGATGCCTTTTTTTATTTTAGCTTTTATTTTATTTTGACTTGTTTATGTGTTTTATATTGATTGTTGTAATGCACTTTGATACCTGTATTGAAAAGAAAGTGCTATACAAATAAAACTGCTGTTATTATTAGGTACAGCAAGCTTAGTTATATTTGACAGTGATAATATCAGTCAGGAAGTGTCAGGAAATAATCCTGTGCAATAGCCCTGTAACACTAAAACATGCACTGCAACTACAAATTATAAATTATATATTTCGTAGTTAAAAAACACAGATTCATCATTGTCAAATATAAATCTAAGCATGCTGTATATAATCTACCTTGTATATAAACATGTAAACTTCTATGCATATACTGTAAGTAGCCCCCTAATTCTATATTTGTTTTTAGTTGTGTGTCTGTCTCGATCTTCCTGTAAATTGTTCTTGGAATTGTCTGGGAAAAGTCAATGTGTACACATAGACCTACTTGGCTGATTCTGATGTTATCACATTGGGATATGGAAAATTATAATTGATATTCTTCATTATTTGTTGACATTCTGTAAACAAAATAGCTAATTGAGAATATAAACATAATATAATATTTCTTCATAATATAGAATAACCTACACACTTCTGAAAAAATTTTTAAAGCAACTTTAAAGATGCTTTCTGACAACTTAAGTTTCTTAGACTTGACCTATCTTTTAATTTGGTTAAAAAAAGTTTTTATAAGATTGTATAATTATGTAATGCGAGTTAATTTATAGTAAATCTGTGTCATTTCAGGGAATGCAGCGTGCAACTAATGTCACCTATCAAGCTCATCATGTCAGTCGAAACAAGCGTGGGCAGGTTGTGGGCACAAGAGGAGGGTTCAGAGGATGCACCGTTTGGCTGAGTGGTAGGTTATGACATGTCAGCAGGTTTGATTTACAAAACCAAAGTTCAAGGTATCATTTCTGCATATGTATATCCATCTTATAGCTGTTTCATAATGCTGTTTCCTTCCGTGCCAAAGGTTTGTCCGGTGCGGGGAAGACCACAGTGAGCATGGCTCTGGAGGAGTACCTGGTGTGTCACGGTATCCCCTGCTACACACTGGATGGGGACAACATCCGTCAGGGGCTGAACAAAAACCTGGGCTTCAGCCCAGAGGACCGTGAAGAGAACATTAGACGCATTGCTGAGGTGGCCAGGCTTTTTGCTGATGCTGGTCTGGTCTGTATCGCCAGCTTCATCTCTCCCTACAGCAGGGTAAGTGACTTTCCAATGAAAGCACCAGAGTGGAATGAGACAGGGATAAATGTTGCTGGCCTGCGAGTCTCAAGTGAATTTGGCTCTCATTCTGTTATATAATCTTTATTGGACCATATTTGGAAAAATTCTGTCCCTTCTGTGAATCGTTTTGGTCTATTTTGGGAATTAGCACTACCAGGCTAATGCTTTTACAGCACTGTACATTTCACATTGGTTTTTGGATTACTTAATGATCTTTGTTAATAATAATTACTGATCATGTGTCTCATCATCATCATTATCCTGCTGAAATTGAAGAAAAGAATTTCCCCTCGGGGACCAATAAAGTATTTCTGAAAAGTATTCTGATCTGATTTAAGGCCCCTTCCAATTTGGAAGTTATGAATTTTACACATACCAGGCTGACTTGAGTTATTATTTACAAACGTGAATTTATCAATTGTAATTTTGAATAAAGAAAAAAATAAACTAAAATAAGATTTTAATTACTTACTACAAGTTCTTTACAATATTGACAACTCTTTATTTTTCTAATTACAGTGAAGGACTGTAGTGCATGATTAGCAGCTTATTTGTGTTTTCTCTTTTTACTTTTACTGTCTGTTATGGGAAGCCAATTCTGAGCTTTGCTTGCTGCTATAGGATTTTATTTACTGCGGTGAATGGCACCCTCTTGCAGCAGAAAGCATTTTTGGTCGGTAAAAACCAAACCCAATGAGCCTTAATAACATGGCTGTCTTTCCCTAAGTCATTGCTAAATCATGTCTCGCTGTGTATTTGGTTCTTGTCTGTCAGGATCGCCTTAATGCCAGGAAGATCCATGAGGCTGCAGGGCTGCCTTTTTTTGAGGTGTTTGTGGATGCTCCCCTGGATGTCTGTGAGCAGAGAGATGTGAAGGGGCTGTACAAGAGAGCCCGAGCCGGGGAGATAAGAGGTGGAGTACTGTGTAATGCTTTTCATGTGCAGTGCGTCAGTAGATCCTAGGCCTGGTTATTTGATCAGGACAGTCAGGGTTCATACTTGGACTGACATATAGTGACATATGTACATAGTACTCTGACCCCCGGACCTTAAAGAGATTCAGCGAAATTGTACTTCCATATGATACTTTGTTGTCAAACACAAAACAGAGGGCAAATCTAAAACTTTGTTTTTTGAGTTACTCTGTAACTCGCAATGCATTTACATTTTGATGAGTGTGACTTCTGCTGTTACCATAATTGTCTACACTTTCTGTTTGTGCTAATACTTATTAGGGCTGGGCGGTATATTGGTATAATGAGGTATACCGATATAATTTCAAAAGACATAAAATACTGTTTATACCGATTATAGTTTGATGTTGAGTTAATCATTTTGTTTCCTGCCAGCGTTTGCTCCTCTCTCTCCCTCACCGTGCAGCCCCATCCCTCCCTCTACATCTGCACTCAGCCATCTACTCACAAACTCTCTAACAATGTGGGGGGAGACACAGTGCCGGTCGACACTGTTGAAGACACTTTATTTCGGCGGGCCGTCCTGGTTAAGCGACACATTGTAGCACTTTTCAGAGAAACAGAGTTATGTTACAAGTCGCGCCACAGTGGATATTTTACAAGAGCGGACCAGGTAAAGCGACAGTGAACACACCAGGGAGATGTCATTCATTAGCTACCTCGTTGCTTTTATTTTAATAGGCTACATCGTCAACACGCCTCCTCAACATGCGGCGCAGCTGCTGCTGTGACCGGAACCACGGGAGGGAAAGTCCAGAAGACAAGTTTATTTATATATATATTGTTTTCTGTGACTTTATATAACGCCCAGTGCTAATGCTTATGATATGACACAGAAATGTCATGACAGTGACAATGAAACTGATGCAACACTGATAGAGGAAGTGTTTCTTATCACATAAGATCTCACAAGCGTGAGATGTTAACCCAGTTTTCCCCGTTGTGTGTCATTTCTGCAGATTGGCCTTTGATTAGTCTCCCTTCTGTCTGTCAGTAGTGGAGACATTTGTTTATTAATGGAATGCAAATCAGTCCCGATCAGTTCTCTGAATCTCTACCTTGATTTATTGTAATTTAAATCACGGTTTTCTCATTAAATTGCATTTTCCTGGCTGCATCCCACTTAAACCATTAAAGAAACTCGTGTAGTAATTCTTGATTCTGGATGAAGTATGGAAAAGTAGTTATTAATCATTTTTGTGTGATTATTGATTACAGGTGCTGATGTTTTAGGCATTGTGACAGGATACCTATTCCGTAAATCATTTCAAATCCATACAAAAATGGAAATGGAAGAGAAATAAGCTTTTCATGTCATTTTTTGTATAGAAGATAAAGCTCTGACTGTGCATTTAATACCGTTTATTTCATCAGGTTTTACTGGAATTGACTCTGAGTACGAGAAGCCAGAGGCTCCAGAGCTGGTGCTGAAGACCGACTCCTGCAGTGTGAATGAGTGCATACAGCAGCTTATTGACCTGCTTCAGGAGAGGGTGAGAGGAAGAAATGTCCTGAATTGACATGTTTTAAAATATGTGCATCATTCTTCGAATCAGCTGCTGTTGTCTTTTTTGGCTATGCACCCTTCAAAGAATATTTGTGCGACCGTTTCAGAGATGGCCAGAGGCTTGAAGTTCAGACGATTCATAAAAATGTGAAATCGTTCTGCTGTTGGTCACTAGGGGGCAGTGAAGCTTCATATTTGTATGATTGTTGACGTCAAGTAAAATGATTATTCTTTAGGGATAAGTAAACCTTTACGATAGTCTTGATTATGCAGAAAGTTTTGTAATGATCTATTTCTAACAATTCATTTCACATTATTTTGATTTTGCAGGATATAGTTCCTGTCGATGCATCTTATGAAGTGAAAGAGCTGTACGTTCAGGAGAATAAACTGGACCTGGCTAAGGCTGATGCAGAGACTCTGCCTGCTGTACAGATTGGGAAGGTGCTTCTGATTTTCACTTTTCATTTTGATCAATCTTAATAAAGAAATGAAGCTAAATAACAACTGATAGCCTTTGTCTATTGTATATATTTGCATTTGTGTATACAGAGCAGTTATTAACCATTGAGCAAGCAACTGCTACATTTGTATATATCCTTTTAATTTGAAACATATATGATACGTTTGTAGGTACCAAATCCGCACTGCCTGCCGGATCCCTATCTGCACATGCACCAAAGGGGTCCTGTCCATCAAAGAAGGTTACGACAAATGTGCCTGTTCATAATTACATGTGTGTTGTTGTAAGTTTCTTATCACAGGGCGTCAAATACTGACACTTTCAGAAAGGCTGACAAAGAATTGTTTGATGCAAAAGGTACTCTTTAGTGTCCGTATGAGATGCCCCTGTGCGCATCTGTATGCGACGCCCTGTCTAGGTAACTAGCTACATTAGTATAAAAGGCGTTGACAGCTCCCCCAAGCCCGTTACTCTAACCATCACAGGGTTGTGTGCCTAAACCTAAGTCAGTGATTGTATGCATGACGGCGAATGTGCTAGCAGCTAGGGTTAGCCTCCTTTGTGTTGCTACATTGTTAGATTGTTGTCATTGTTAGAAATTAAAATGTGCTGTTGAATAAGATTTTTCATATCTTAAGTATATTCCTATTACATCATAGTGAACAGTCTCGTCTAATAATCTAATCATCCCCACTGATTAAAAAAACATTTTGAATTTTTGATTTGAATGATTTAGTTGGATCATTTTGAAAAGGCAGATTTGCGGTAACCTTCTTTAACTGAACCACTTTTGCGCATGTGCACAACGGATCCGGCAGGCAGTACGGATTGGGCACTGACAGCGTTGTTGCTCAGTATGTAACACACTGTATGTGATTGTGTGGATGATCCTCAGGTGGACATGCAGTGGGTGCAGGTGCTGGCTGAAGGCTGGGCCACTCCTCTGAATGGCTTTATGAGAGAGAGAGAGTATTTGCAGTGTCTTCATTTTGACTGTCTGCTGGATGGTAAGATGTCATTAATGTATTTCAAGAAATATGAAATGTTGAAGTGAGACCATTTATTTTAGGCTTACCTGTCTGTCTACCTCCCTACCTAGCAGCACATTCAAGTGTGTTTTGGTGGAGTAGCTTTGGAAGTAGGCCTGTAGGGGAGGGGGTGTAACCTCGGCTTTAAGATTTCATTGTAAAATTCAGTGTTGCCATACTTGAGAAATGGCACTAGATGGAGATGAGTGCTCACAAAATGGAGTACTCAGAAATTGGGGATGTCTCTTTATCGGGACATCATTACACATTTCTTACAACTGAACTTAAACGTTATATTTATGAATATATTTCTGTGGCTACCATCGCTGTATGTCCTCCATATATACTAGAAATTGAGCATGTGAGCACCAAGATGTGCTCTCAGTCAACCTGTCCTTTTTAAATTTTACTTCTTAGCTCTTAGCTAAAGGGTTTATTCATGTCTGTCATTTGACACTGTATGAGCTTATTTGGGTCTGTCCGCTCTAGCCCCCCCCCCCAATTGCCAATAAAAAATGAGCACTCTGATTACATGAGGCGTTAAATTAGATTAACAGATATTCCCTCCCTGTCCCTCCATTGTGCTGTTGGAGGTTTAATTGAGGCTTGCTGGCTGACATGCTGAAGAAGTGCTCCACTATACAGCAGTGATATACATCTTGGTTAGGTGTCAGAATGACACACTGATGTAATCAGGAATTAAGTTGAGTTAGATGCAGAATTTTAAGAATGATGATCTCGTGAATAGGGTTGTTATTTGCACCCAGGTCTGAGGAATGCCTTGGTATTTGGCACTTTCTAGAATACGGATATAACATTGGGTGCAGAGTCTCTTGGTGTAATTACAGCAATTTCTCATTTTTTGAAATTCCAAGAAAAAGTCAATTTACTTTTATTGCCCATATGACCACTCAAACCTCAGTTTTGTGTTGTGATGCCAAATATTTTGACACGCACACACAGTCAAATCAAAATTACATAAAATAAATTGAAAGTTAACATAGCCTGTATTTCATTTTCAGATTTTGACAGGTATATATTACAACTGCTGTCCTCACTGAATGAAAAAAACATCCAGTTCTTACAACTTTGAGCAAACTCACAGATGATTTAAGTTATTTCCCCAGAAAGATAGCTAGCCTGAGAAACCAAGCTGTATAGACAGATAGAGTAAAAAATATATATTGATGTGAAAAGTCTTGATTCCCTCTTTCCTGTTTGTCCGGGGGAAGAGGGAGACGGAGGAAGAGGCTTCTGTATTGATTGACACCACACACCACCATTTGTCCGTTTTCACTTCCTTCCAGAGATTTGACAGTGAAATGATTGATCGCCCCCACTATAACACTAAAACTGTTTGGGAAGCAGAAAACTGCACGTTTGATTAATCAGATAGTCTGCAAAAATAAGCAGAGGCCCAAATTCAAGCTTGTGCGTGTCTCTCTCTCGCTCGCACATTTGACAGTCTAGTGTGTGCGTGTTTTATTGGAACCAGCTGTCAGCTCTACGCTGTGACAGAAGGGACGAGGGGGGGGGGGGGGGGGGGTTGTGCAGCAGTCGGCGTCCCTCCTCTTTCCATTGCATTTGATCTGATGTGATGTGAAAAGTGTGCCGGACCAAACATTTTCATCAACCTGGATGGCAAATGAACCCGCCAACAGTCTGTTGTCACTACACAACTCAATTCAGAAAATGAGAAAGCTTAATTTAAGAGGGGATTTTTCTCCACTAGCTACTTAAATTGCAGCCTTGAAGACTCACTGTAGACTGTGGTTTAGCTGTACATTTCACATTTAGCTGAAAGGGTATGGAATGGAGACTTAATTAGAATGGTTGAGCTGCTTTATTGATACCTGACCTTTGAAGATTTTAACATGCCTTTTGTAGAATGTCTGTTCTCAGTGTCTCAGTGCTTTGCATTGGGAGCCTTTACATTGTTTTTCTGGGATTGTTATCTGATATTAAAAGTGGCCTGTGGAGTTTTTTTTGTAAACAAACAAAAGTTCTGTTTAAATTCAGGGTTTCCTATTTAAACACATTGTGTCCATCCTTGAGGTGTATTGAATGCATTTCCTTCCTTGTTAAAGATTTGCAAAGACGATTAAAGAGAGATTAAAAAAACAAATCTTAATTTGCTAAACATGTACATCCATGTTTGCTAGCTTGTTAGTCGTCTTCTTCACTGCTTCTTCACTTCTTGGTATGTTATTTACCATAATGATGATAAATGACTTTATTTGATGGTTAAAAACCCATCACACTGCACTGTAAAAATCAGAGGGTGAAAACACAGTAAAACCAGGCTTATTTCCCTTGTGATTTCCACTGTAGTTTGAAAATACAGGAAAAGGCAGGACTGTGTATCATGCCCGTGAGCATTAAACAAACAAATGGGGGACCCACTTGCAAAAACGCTGCTCCATAGTGCTACTAATGGTCATAAACTCCACAGGGAGCTTTTAATGTAGCTTGAACTAGAGGATCATAAAGTTTGCGTCATGTGTGGAATCAGTGTTTACTCACCAGATGATGACTACCACAATTTATTTATTCTCGATTTGTTGACAACAAATTAATCTGCATAAATAATTCATGTCTGTAATTTTTCCAACATTCATTTTCAATTCTGTCATACTCATGGTAAATAGACTGTGTTTATATTGATATCCTTGAACTGCACTTGATAGTAAACTGAATATCTTTGGGTGTTGGACTGACTGTCAGACAAAACAAGGAATTTAAATATGTTGCTTTTGAGGAAATAAAAAAAAAATATATATATATGATGCAAACATTATGATGTTTATATTTGACCTTTTTCTGACATTTTTAGACAAAAAAGGTCAACTGATTACTCAAGCAAACGACCAGCAGATTACTCAGTAATGAAAATAAGAGTTAATTGCAGCCCTAATGTATTTTCTTTCTGCCTCACAACTGTTTTTTATTCTCCATTGTTCTAGGTGGTGTCATCAACCTGTCAGTGCCTGTGGTGCTGCCGGTGTCTACTGCAGATAAAGAGCGTTTAGATGGCGTGACAGCTATAGCCTTGGTCTACGGGGGCAGGCGAGTGGCCATCCTTCGCAACCCTGAGTTTTATGAACACCGCAAAGAAGAGCGATGTGCTCGCCAGTGGGGCACCACCTGCAAGGACCACCCCTACATCAAGGTACATTTCTGAGATGACTCGTTCAGGGTCAAAGTTTTCATTCTCTGAAAACTGAATTTACAATATGGGCTTATATGCTGGAAATGCTACAAACACCCCCCAAAAGCTCAACCTTGGGGGATTTGCTGAGCAGCGCTGCAGACGGTCTGTCTCAGTCTGCTATGTGATAAACACTCTGCATGCAAAAGCAGACTGCCTCCCTGGATTCAGCACTGATAGAACACAGATCCGAGAGCTGGCCTTTTCACTTTGCTTATGGAAAGACTGAATAGGTGGAGGAGTGGAGCTTTTCTCACAATCTGTCAGGACGCCCAGTGTAATCACTTGATCTTTTTGGTCCACCCTCATTTTGCAGGTGTTATATTTGGATGCTGATTCTCTCCCCCAGCCTCCACCAAATGTATTTGACATTGTACTGCGAGGCTCAACAGGCCGTGCAGTCCCTGCCAGCTTCTACCTTTCCGCTCACCCAACCCTTCTCCAAATATACCAGGGAATTGTTTCCATCTGTGTCCTATCGACTGCTGTGGGGCTCAGGTAGACTCAGTGGTGAGATAACGTCCTGAAATAATCCTGCACACCCCCCGCGGAAAGTGGCACTGGCCACTTGTAGCTGGAAAAGAATGAAACAGTCTGGTGTTGCAGACAAAGATAGTTGTCAGATTTCTAAATCCATCAGCTTGGACCGGGGTACAAGGTTACTTTAAAAAAGTCGCTTGTCGTGCTAATTTTAGATGCCATTGTTTTCAGGATTAGTGCAGTTGGTTAGCAACTTCTATATTGGCAAAAGTGTAAGACAAAGCTAATAGTAACCTACGTGGTATTTGGGGATTTTACTCCCTGGGATCAGACTAACTGTGAACGTCATTAGCTCGTTTTAAATCCCCATGCTGCTGAAATTTCTGGATGGAGGTTAACTTGAATACTAGACCACAGCAGTCTCAATATTTCAGCACAGTTGGTCATTATTTTGAATCTTATCAGATATCTTTTCTTGTCTCTGGCTTGCTAATGTGTTTTAAGATGCGAGAGGCTGCCAGTTTCATAAATTGGTACCATGGATCTCCAGTATCAACACCTGATGCTTCAGTGCTGACTTTAAACACACGCTGCAGAGACTCTGTATTTCCACAACTGTCATTCTTTATCCACTCTAAACTGTCACAGCTGAATATGTGTGTTCAGCTTGCTGTGATTAAGGTGTCACTCATTAAAGAGTGTGTGTAGGTATTCACAAGTGTGTGTTTTAACTGCCCGTACCGGAGCCAGTCTGTCAGCACTCCTCTGCGCTGGTAGCTCCAACTTTTTTTGTCTCTTTCCAACCAGAAACGACCTTCTCCGTATTACATGTAGTTAATCCACTGTTTCCTGTTTACCTGTCCGTCAGTCAGACAGGAGCCCCCTTCAGTGGAAACCATGGTGTAGTGGCTGTTTATTTGGCTAGGGCCCTTTTCACATATGAAGTCCGGAGGCACTTAAAACGGTTAAACAGAGCGCGTGTGTAGGCCTGCTCCTTTTGATATATCCACGTAGACATTATATTTTCCTTTCACTTGTGTTGGGGAAATAAAGTGCGACTTGTCTATGCTGTTGACCTCTCCAAAGAATAAGACTGTTAAACGTCTTTCATGACTCTTCTCAGGCCAGCAGCGGACAGGTTGGATTAATTGGGGTGTGGAAAACAAATTGCAACACAATCCTGAAAACAGACGGAGCCAAGTTGTTATTGATCACATCACGCAGACCCCTCTGCTGCTGACTGCTTTCATATTTTTAGATATAGTTTGCCAGATCATACTGAAATCAGTATGTCTGTAAAGTATGGCTAGCAAAGAGCTTTCATGTATTTTTTTCACATGATAAATTACATGTCAATGAAATAAGTGACATTTTTTTTATCAACTTCCAAATCGGCTTTTCGCTACGCCTACAAACTTCAGTTTTCATTTGTGGTCGACGTTTTGAGTTTTCTCTGTCTCCGTGGTGGAGCTGGGTTGCTTTTATTACCGAGCCTGTAGAGAATTGTCACTTCCTATCACATTAACATCGCACAGGCCAGTGTTTCAGTAACTCTAGCAATGGTCTCATAAATGCCACAAGAGGCAGGCGAAAGATATTGCTTGAAACAATAGCAGCCTTTGCCTGGTTCCTGAGCACTTCTGTGACATTGTTGGATTAATCTCTTGAGGGGAAATTTTCTCTCCAATGTGGTCATGAGCTCATCACCAGGTTTTATTGTGGAATACAATCTGATTTTGTCTCTGCTCTGTTATTGAAATTAAGGTAGTAGATGTGGCCAAGTGCAGAAGAGAGTTTTTGTTGACTGTTTAACAACACATAGACTCTTTGATTTATGCTGGTGTGTCCCGGTTGCAACTGGGTAAAAACTCGGGAGTTTTATTAGAATTCACGCTGGCCTGGCTCCAGCACAGTGAAGTTTTTATGGACCACACTGTCTTAAGTCTGGATTATGTTTGAGTTGTGTTCCCTGTCATGATCGGTGCGAGTCCTATTTCAGATGGTGATGGAAAGTGGGGACTGGCTGGTTGGGGGAGACCTGCAGGTTCTGGACAGGATCTGCTGGAATGACGGACTCGATCAGTACCGGCTGACGCCCACGGAGCTCAAACAGAAGTTTAAAGAAATGAATGCAGGTAAGGGCCAAGTTCTGTTGTTTATTTTTTTTTTTTTGTCTGAACTAAACTGAAAAACGGTGATAAAATCTTCAAACCAAGGACTTTTAGAGAGACGGTAGTGACAATATTTAGAAACTTCTACATTTTTTTTTCTTAAAAAGGAGAGGAGACACTTATGTAGTCCACTCACTTTTTTTCTTTGTTTAGTCTTTGGGAAGGAAGTAAAAGAGACAGAGAAGGCAAGCCATGGGAGAGAAAGTTCTGGTGTGATTCAGTCCTTCACTGTATGCGGTTTCAGTGGCCGGGCACTTAGCTGCTTGATTATCTCTGGGTACATTGTGGCCTTCTGTTTGTTTTGTACAGATGTGTTTGGTCGCAGTTTAACAAACCCTTCTCATTCTCCCTCTGTCTCTCTATTTAGATGCTGTATTTGCCTTCCAGCTCCGCAACCCAGTCCACAACGGCCATGCCCTTCTGATGCAGGACACCCACAAGCGTCTCATCGAGCGAGGCTACCGCCGGCCTGTTCTGCTGCTTCACCCACTGGGAGGCTGGACCAAGGACGATGATGTGCCGCTGCCCTGGCGAATGAAGCAGCACGCCGCTGTGCTGGAGGAGGGCGTCCTGAATCCAGACTATACCATCGTAGCTATATTTCCTTCACCCATGATGTATGCAGGGCCAACTGAGGTAAAGATTATCAAGAATGTTGCATTTGCAGTTACTTGAGGTTACAAAATAATGTGACTGCAGCAGCGACTAATGACAACAGACACAGAGAGGAGGACTGTCATATACTTCCTGTCTGCAAATGTTTGAGAGTGAAAAATGGCAGGAAAGGGGTTTTTATAATTGTCTCGAGATGCGGTGTTTAGTGTTTCCATGCCATATGCAAACCTCTTTGTGTGACTGAGCGTAGCTGTGTAGTTGGGAATGTTTAATCATTCACTTATGATGGTGGGAAAGTTACGGCGCAAATTATTGAAAGCAGATTGGAGGCTGGTAGATGTCAGGCAGTGAATTTATTTAGTTTGTAATTCTGAATGGGAGTTTTTAAGAGCCAGACTCAGCTCCAGCTTTACTATCATTGTTCTGAACTTGTTTATCCATTAATAACAACAAATACCCTCGGTCTGCCTGCCACTCAAATATTAAAACTTCTTATCAAGTGTTCGTCTTGCCAGAATGTTCTTTAGCAACACACTGAAAGCCTAATCTGAAAACTGTAGATCCTATAATATACGTGGGCAAGAACTTTCTGGCACTAGTAATAGCAACTGTCAAGGAGAAATGTGTAAATTTAACAATTATTCATGATGAAACAGAAAAAATCCTTGAAGCTTATGGTGAATGGAAATTACTATGGGTAATATGTGTGGGGCTTAAGTTTGCCAAGTCAAAATGGTAAATGTAGCTGTGAGTTCTTTTTAACTGGTTTTATATTTTAAGATGTCACTTTTACCCTACATAATTTTTTTTTAGATAATATTTTGAGTCGTAGTGAGATATTGTAGCACTCACGGCCAGGTCGCCTCTGAAAATAGGTTCCAAACACTCTTAAAAGTAAAAACATCTGGAATAAACCATTTCATTAAAGGTAACAATCTTTATTTTATGAAAATACAATAATTCTTCTATAAAATCGTTGTTTGGAGACTTCCTTATTGGACTAACAGAGCAGCATGATTACCATGCACAGTGCATAAGGGCCTTACAATCTACACACCATCTACAGCAAATACAATGGGTTGAGCCTGAGCACAAAGAAAACTGAACCACATAGAAAAGATTCAATTTCATCACTATGAACTACTGTTTATGAAGATGTCAAGCCATACATTCAATAGTAACAATTGAAAATGAATAATTAATTTAATAATTAAATGTTTTAATTAGATTAGGAATGTTTTGCAAATCTGCTGTAAAATGTAATAAAAAGAAAGTGCAAATGTGAATTCCATACATTTTCTTTCTTCAAATTTGTGTTTTTAATGATTCTCCAGTATTTACAATATTTCTGCCCCCCCGGCACAGGTTCAGTGGCATTGCAGAGCTCGAATGGTTGCTGGAGCCAACTTCTACATCGTAGGCCGTGACCCTGCAGGCATGCCCCACCCTGACACAGGAAAGGACCTGTATGAGCCCACTCATGGGGCCAAGGTCCTCACCATGGCTCCGGGCCTCATCACCCTGGAGATTGTACCCTTTAAGGTCGCTGCTTACAACAAGGTCAAAAGAGCAATGGACTTTTATGACTCCAAAAAGTGAGTACTTGTTTATGTTGTAATTTCATATTTTAAAGCCTTTTTCTTGTTTCCCATAGTATTTAATTTTATTAGGGTTATAGAGTGCAGAAATGGCTTGAGTCAAAAGCGGCAGTGCTCACTAACACTAAATTAAATAGCTTCATTGTAGATTTAGTCCAGAGTTATACCTCTCATTTAGGCCAATTAGAACCAGCAGCCTAAACAGAAACTGCATACTCATAATTAATTACTCATTAGGCTTGACTAGTTTTAAAAAAAAACTAATTTCTTCTATCTACAGTAAAAGGCCAAGCCAAGAATAACAGGAGTTGTTTTTCTTTCTTATACAGTTAAAAGGTTTTGTGGATTAGTATGAGCTTTGTTGTTGCTCAAAAATTACAGAGACCTGCCATTAATTAAAGTCTGTATAAAGACACTGCACATGATGACTAACTAAAAAACATGCAGTCTCACCGCCTCTCAACCGGATTTGATGCAAACCTCCACCATCAGGTTATGAAACTTTAGCTGTGTTTGGCCAGGAATGTTCAAACTAAATATGGCCAGACTAATCAAAAGCTATGCTTTGTTTTCCATGATGCGTATTTATGATGTTGAGTCAAAAAATGACTTGTTCATCGGGAACATCTAGGACTTCTAGTGCTACTAAAAATAGTATGTTTACTTATGATAATGATAGTTTGTCACTACACAAGCAAATGTGTAGTGAAGTGAGGTGTACTTATTAAGACAAATGTGAAAAAATAAGAATTAAGAAATATGAAGGATAAAAATTCAGACAAAAAAAATCATAAATAATATGAGAACATTTTAAATTTACATGTCAGAATTGTAGGCAAACTAAACAATAACATTTTGTACAAACCTGAGTAGAAAATTAAAAGTATATGCAAGTATATGCTATGCTGTAGGTGTCTCAAAACATGAACTTTTAAAACATATTTCAGAATGTCATGTGTTGGTAAATTGCTCTTTTTGTTATATACAATTTACTGCATTTTTGATATAATCCCATTGATCTGATGGCTTGCTATCATTTTAAAGCTAAAGCTAGAGAGCAAAGTCTGTAGTTGTCACTCAGTTAGGCATTCTATTCTCTAATGCACGCAGACAGCCTCTCGCCACATTTCAGGAGGAATGCGGACTCTTATCGCCAGCAAAACCCCTCAGTCTTTTTTATAAAGTGTAATGGCTCAGATCACAGCAAGCTGTGTCTAATTTGACACTGTATAAAAATGTTCCCTGAAGAATTTGCCTGGAGCTCCTTACCTCACGCCACGTGATCTGTGTCATGGTATAGCAATGACAGGAACCTCTCTGAATGTAAGCTTAGTGGAGGTGCGTGTAAATGTCGGCGAACAAGACGTCTGAAACGTGTTGATTATCTCTGGCAGTAATTTATAGACAAGGCTAGTGAAGCTGTGCCAGTACTCTGCTCCACACCCGTCTAAGGTGAACACTGTCTTTGGCTGCTCGCTTCAAACAAAGTTGTTAGTATCGTTTCTGAACCAGGAGAACTTAATCTGTAGTGAGAAGCCGTCTGTCACAGATAAAGGTGGCACAGTAGAGTAGATTTAGGTGTACAAAAAATGTTTGGACAAGGGAAATCTACAATCTGATGAGTGGGAAATATCTGACTACATTACATTGCATTTACATTTATTCATTTAGCTGACGCTTTTATCCAAAGCAACTTACAATTGCTGTCTATGTCAGAGGTCGCACACTTCTGGAGCAACGAAGTGTTAAGTGTCTTGCTCAGGGACACATTGGTGTGTCACAGTGGACTTAAACCTGGGTCTCTCACACCAAAGGCATGTGTCTTATCCACTGCACCATCACCACCCGTAATGACTACTGACTACTCTGTCAGTATGTGATTTTCCAATCGGTATTTCATTTCAACCAGCGTATCACAGCTTCATTCCTTCATGCAGACAGACTGTTTGGTGGTGGGGATGTTTGACAGTAGTGTGTGATACCCTAAAGTGATAATACAGATTTTTTTTACTTTTCTGGACAGTCAGGGCTTTATTAAATAAAGTAGTAACTAGCATTTGTTTGTTTTTAATATATGAGTTTACATTTACGTTAGAATCTGGCAGTGTTGCATTGAATAGAAATTGGTTAGTTGTACTAATCTACTCAATGTCTGATGTTACACCTTTAACCTTTTTAAATTACTTATTTTCTCCTCAAAGAGCACTAGTGGGTGTAGGGGACACCAGAAGTGCTCATGTCATCAATAAAACTATAATCATAACAGAAAAAAAGAGTGCAAAAAATATAGAAGATATTACAGGATATTAACAAGCAATATGCAAAAATTCACGGTAAGACATAAAAGAATTAGTGGACACATCATTTGTTTTGTCACACTAAATTGATTGTTGTTGTATGGAGTTATTTACACCAGAATTAGACCAGAAAAAAAAGCCTGCATTAAATATCAAAAAACAAAACTCAAGCAAGTACCCCTGAAGGCTTAATCACTACATCTCATAATATGTAATAATTATTCCATGTGTATTCACATGCATTAATGGAAAATTTAACTTTAAGCCTCTGCCTGTAGGATTAAAAACTAAATAACTATGGTGTAGTAAAGATTCACAAAGGATCTTAAACAAAGACATATAAATGATACATCTAGCGTGCTGGTACTTACTGGATTGTCACAGTATCAAGCCACAGAGTTGTTTAGGAGGAATTACTAATAAAGCAGCTGCCATAATTGGTCAGCAAATGAAACGTAGATTTTAGCGATATAAATATTCTCTTACACAAACAGTCATCCTGTCATTTTAAAGGATCCGATGTTTTGTTTACTGTACTCTACTGTTTTGTCCACCTCAGCCTACCGGTGTTGCAGCACTGCTCTCCTTTAGGACAGCCGACTCTACAGTGCAGCATTTCGCTCGCATATGTGAGTGAAAATTAGTGTGCGTGTGTAAATGTACTAGTGCACACGCGGCTAGCTCTCTCTTTCTCATTAGCAAAGAGCATCACTGAGTGTTTTATTTAATACGTCTACCAAGTCTTCTCTTTAGCTGATCATGTCACGTCAGTTTCAGGAGTTGCATTCCCAGTTAAACTATTATTAATTTCATAAATCAATAATTTAAGCCAAATCAAGGGCCGTCAGTATTTTGATCACGTAGCTTGTGAAAAACAAAGTGTGCCAGATGCAGTAATCTAGAGCTGTTATTTCAGTGAGTCAGATACACATTTCAGTATCGACTTTTGAGTTGGCAGATACACAATGCTAAATGACTCGGACCGGGGACTTTGGATTGTGTTTGCAGAAATGCTAACTGACCTGCTCCTACGCTCTTAAAGCAACAGGCAGTTATTGTTGGCTCATATTTCCTGTGCTGCTGATAAGCATCTTTTCATTGATTAAAATATGCCTGTTACTCAAAACTCTTAATCTCTGTTTTTTTTTAATTGCAGCCATGAAGATTACGATTTTATCTCAGGCACACGTATGCGCAAGATGGCTCGTGAGGGAGAGAATCCTCCTGACGGCTTCATGGCGCCGAAGGCTTGGGCTGTGCTGAAAGAATACTATAAGTCACTGGAGAAGGCCTAAAGGTCACATCTTAGAGGAAAAAACATGAAAACACATTGTTTTTTTTTACTGATGTTTAAAACGCCGAATGCGGGGACCACTCATCTGCTATCAGAAACCACGCACAGCTGTCAGTCATGAAACTGGTCTCAGTCTCATATTTGTGTTTTAACCGTATGAACTTTATTAACTAAACTTACAAACAAAAGAATTTCTTTGAAAGTAGATGCTTGTGTTTCTCACTAACATTTATAACTGTATATTCTGATGGCTGGTTACAGAAAAGACTGTGTGAAAATATAAGATCAAGACTTGTAATGACCTGTGTAGAAAGTACTGTTGACCAGTACTTATACAGGAACGAATGAATGTTGAGTATTTGTGATGTCTCATTTTAAAACATTTTAGCTCCTGCTAAAGTTCACTTAACTCACCACTGAAACCCAGTTGCTTTATACTGTATGTTTGCAAGTGGCCGTGGTAATTGCTCAGAATTTGGTGTACACAAGTATTTGATGTAAAAGTCGAGTGCCTTGGTCTTCAGAAAATGAACTCACATTATGTCTTGTTTGAATTAGGACACAGACAACACTCACACGCCTGCTTCTTGTCCCACTTGTCTTGATGTTACTCTGAAACAGTCCAGTAGTTCAAGAAATGGTTTGCAAAACAGATCAGTATAAAATGTTTTTTTTTAAAATTGGAATATGCAACCCTAACCTTCCTAAACTCCTAGGAAAAACTTTTTAAAACTTTTTTGTCATATTATTTAGTATATTTATTCTGTCCTAACATTGCAGTGTTTTCTGTTTTTGACAGTGTTGTGCATGTAGTTTTGGTACTTAACAGTCTTGATATTTTGTTACATTTTCTTCATTTGTTCTCATGGGTTGCTAATATTTTCCATGTGGTAATTCATTTTTAAGAGTTGGCCTGTATTAACATATGGTTGATGGTTACCATCAAGGGATCAGATTTGTAATCTTCCTTGTCCAATAAACCATTTTTAGCTAAAAGAACAATTTGTTTACTTTTGCTTTCTGTAATCTTTGGGGGGTTTTTACACACAATGCACGATATGTGTTTTTTTGTTTTCTTTTTTTTTTGCAGCACACCAAAGAGTTTTAAATACATAACATATTCTCAACTTAATTTTGCTTGCACTGAATGATTGCACTGAATTTCATGTATTTTAGATGTCATCAACTTTTCGCTGCCTGTGTAAACTAAATAGCTCTAAGTCCCTTCATGTCTTTGTGACTAAACTGTTTCAAGTGCATTTTGTCATATACATGAACAGTGCACCCTGTAAATTTAAATTTCCACAGTTTCGTAGGCACTGCCTGTTTGAACCTTTGTGGCCTTCCAGTCGGTCAATCAGCTGTATATTGAATGAGACAGATCCTCTAGTGACCCTAATCAGACTCAGACACACTCGCACGCTGTGAAAAAAGAGCTGCAGCTGGCTCCCAGATGGAGCAGTGTAGTGAAAGTGGAATGTACAGGGTTAAATCCAGACAGAGAAGAGTGGCTCTGTCAGAAATACCCTAGATACTTCATCTAATCCAACTCCAAGATGTAATGAAGAAGCCTGCCAGCAGCAGTTTTTTCTACCTTTCACCAGATCTTGTTCAATCTTAAATGGTAATCAAGCTGGCTCCTCAGTAGAACTTCAAAAGAAGAGCTCTTTTTTCACACAGAAAATGATGAGAGGTTGCCTTATGATTTTTGTTGTTCTTTTCACTGTCTGGAGAAGATCAGTGCTCTCTGGGTAATGCAGGTGTCTGTTACTATGTGTATCTGTAACCTCTTGATGTTATCTTGCTTGCACAGTGTATTTACTTCTGTGTCCCTTTACAGCTTGTTCGCCCCATAATCTGATCTTGCTTTGAAACTTTTCATCTCTCAGAGGGTGTTACAGTGTGGCAGCCTGCCAGGGAAAAAAGGCTGAAGGTGCCAGAAGAATTTGTAGTGTTCTGACTACTGTTTACACCACAAATGCCTTCACTCACCTGCACCAACTCATTTCAACTCGAGTGGCAGAATTTAGAACTCAAACATTTCATCAGAGGCAATAAAACCCAGGGACTTTTTTGATGAGGATTTTTGGAGGATCCTAAACTTATTCCGGACTTTTTAGTTTGCAACTTGAGTGAAGAAGAAGTCTAAGAAGTTGAATGTTACTAATTTATGCAGTTGTTCATGTTTATATATACAGTTGCAGGAAAAAGTATGTGAACGCTTTGGAATTACCTGAATTTCTGCATAAATTGGTCATAAAATGTTATCTGATCTTCATCTAGGCTTAGTCACAACAATACAGTCTGCTTAAACTAATACCACACAAACAATTATATGCAAAAAACAATTATGTTTTAATTGAACACCGTGTAAACATTCACGGTGCAGGGTGGTAAAAGTATGTGAACCCTTGGATTTAATAACTGGTTGACCCTCCTTTGGCAGCGATAACCTCAACTAAGCGTTTCCTGTAGTTGCAGATCAGACCTGAACAACGGTCAGTATGAATTTTGGACCATTCCTCTTTACAAAACTTTTTCAGTTCAGCAATATTCTTGGGGTGTCTGGTGTGATCTCACTCTCTTGAGGTCATGCCACAGCATCTCAATCGGGTTGAGGTCAGGACTCCGACTGTGCCACTCCAGTATCTTCTTCTGAAGCTATTCTGTTGTTGATTTATTTTTGTGCTTTCGGTCATTGTCCTTTTGCATAACCCATCTACTGTTGAGCTTCAATTGGCGGACAGATGGCATTACATTGTCCTGCAAAATTTCTTTATAAACTTTGGAATTCATTTTTCCATCAGTGATAGCAACCTTCCCAGGCCCTGAGGCAGCGAAGAATCCCGAAACCATGATTCCCGCTCCACCATACCTCACAGTTGGAATGAGGTTTTGATGTTTGTGTGTTGTGCCTTTTTTCCTCCACACATAGGTTGTGTGTTCCTTGCAAACAACTCAACATTGGTTGGTTTCATCTGTCCACATCTGTTTCATCTGTCAGTTTTCAGCTGACACTAGGACTCTTTAGCATTGAACATTCTGCGATGTGCTTGTTCAGTCATCTTTGCAGAAAGGCCACTCCTAGGGAGAGTAGCAACAGTGTTGAACTTTCTCCATTTAGACAGTTTGTCTAAAGTGGACTGATAAACACAAGGCTTTTAGAGATTCTTTTGTAACCCTTTCCAACTTCATGCAAGTCAACAATTATTCTTTAATTAATTAATCTTAGGTCTTCTGAGAGCTCTTTTCTTTGAGGCATGGTTCACATGAGGCAAAATTTAAATTGTACGTTTTTTATAGGGCAGGACAGCTCTAACCAACACCTCCAATCTTGTCTCGTTGATTGGACTCCAGGTTGGCTGACTCCTGACTCCAATTAGCTTCTGGAGACGTCATTTGTCTAGGGTTCACATACTTTTTCCACCCTGCACTGTAAATGTTTACACAATGTGTTAAATAAAAACCAGACTTATAATTGTTTGTGTGGTATTAGTTAAGCAGACTGTGTTAGTCAATGTTTGTGACTTAGATGAAGATCAGATCACATTTTATGACCAATTTATGCAGAAATCCAGGTAAGTCCAGGAAAAGGGTTCACATACTTTTTAATTAACACACACACACACACACACACACACACAGATCAACATTTTGCTAGATTCTTGCAACTCATTAAGGGCATTTTCTCTTGCTAGAGTCACCAGAGCTTACCATGATCTCACTTTTCTGACTTTTCTGTCTGTTTAGCTACTTTTCTGTAGCTAAATATTCTCTTAGTGCACACCAGGTCAGTTAAACATGCAAAAATGTAAAATTAGTCTTACTACATAGTTGTAAATTACAAAATAATGTATGATATAATATTTGATTCTTGGGTTTAAATCTCAGTCACTTTAACCTAGACATTTCATTTAGCTGTCATGGCTCCCATATAATTTTCCTGATTCCTTTTCAAATAAATTAGGTGGTAAATCTGTGCTCTGACTCAGAGTATTGCTTCCATCTTATGTACAATTAGTACCAAATAACATAGTTGTGTTTATTGCAAAAGTCATAGTAAAGTATGTAAATGTCACCAGTGTAGCTTTTGTTTTCTACACATGTAGCCTACCAATCTGCATGCCTGCAACATCATACATGCAATGACATCACCGCTGTCTCATCATGCCACCAAAAGGTTCTGCTCTTACATGGACTCCAGCTGCATTTATCTCCAATTTCCTTCCATCTGGTTTGAGTTCCATTCAAAGCCAGTCATGATAAAAACAGGCTTTACTTTGCAAAATGCAATGCAGTGATACAGGACATGGTTAAAATTCAAGGAAATCTGTGTTCCTCAGCGATGGCTCTGAGGTGTGTGCAGTTCAGAGTCAGTGCTCATCAGCAGGAATGTTTGTGTGCGATCATCTGGTCCTTCATGATGGCAGTGGAAAGCGCTATCTTACATACTGTTTCATGAGCTTGGGTAAAATAATCCTGGGTTTTTCTGAGGTTCTGACATATGGTGAACATAGTTACTGTTATGCTTATAAGGGGCAGTTTGATCCTGAAATACACGGTTCTTATTAACCTGTAGGTAACTACCATCTATTTGCCCCTATTTCCAGGAAAAACGCCTACAATAATACCCAGAATGAATCAGGAATAACTCCTTAACTAAATGCATAATTCTAAAATTTTTCTAAAATAAACCAGGCGAATGTCCATGTTTTGGCCATATTTACTGTTTATATGTTCACTGGTATTAGGAGTTTTCTTTAAAACACTATTTCTGTCCATACAACCACGTCCCAAATAACTTAAAGCTTCCAAAACACTGAAAAATTTATAAAAACAGTGAATATTCATCATTCTGGAAGTGGGCCATATCTCTTCGTCTTGAGCAGATGAATCGTTTAGTATATTGGATGTCTGTGTAACTACAACGAGTTGGCCAGTAGACAATGATAAAGACCGTCTGTTCCAAAACAACACTTTTCCTCTCGAACCAAAACTTAGAGAGAGTCTGTGAGTTTGATGATTTGAGTGATATGAGTTACAGCTGATCAGAACTGGAGCTGAGCTTTCTTTAGAGTGGTAAGACGGTGGTGTAGGATGAGATGAGAGATATCTAGAAGGCAATAACCACAGCCATGCACAGTGTTCACATAGCAATTTATGTTGTGATATAAGCTTATTTAGATGCTTGGTGTTTGATGTGTGTTTGGTATGGCTAAAAATGGTTGGTTTGAGATTCTAGATGAGCCTCCTAGCTTCACAGAGGTGTGTGGCATGGATAGAGTGCCAAAATACTAGGATCAGACATCTCTCATTTGCATTTTGCACAAAAATCGATCTACGTCCCCTGTGCAGGCTAAGTCAGGGCTTAAATGTAGCCACTGTCTGAGTATGTTAGATTAGAAAGATTAAAATGTATTTAAAATGCATCGAACAGAAATGTAATACTTACTTTCCCATCTGGTGAATGAAACCTATACCAACTTATAACCATAAGGACATTTCATTTGAGGTTAAATGTTTCTTCATTATAGCCTTTCCACACACACTCTTCACCTTCTTCTCCCAAAATTATTTTCTGATGAACCATCATTTGACAATATGTTGTGCTGCCTAACATAGTCTTTACAAATGACTTTCATTATTATAAATGTGGATCAAATGGATGTATAATAATAGTTAAAATTGAATTTCAGGGATCTGATAATGGTTAGACAAATAAATGTATCACACATTCCGTCTTTCATGTTCATGTTCAGTAGAGCCCGACTTATATGGGATTTTTTAAAACTGATACAAATTTTGATATTTGAGGACTTTAAAATTTGATATTCCGATATACCGGCTTATATTATTTTTTCCCCTCCTTTTCAGAAACACAAAACCCTTGTTATGTGAAGTTATGAGACTTCACCAAGATCCATCCGTCCATCGTCAACCGCCTATCCCGTATACAGGGTCTGGAGCCAATCCCAGCTGACATCGGGCGAAAGGCGGGGTAC